CCCCGCCTTCCCACCTCAAGGCCTCTGAACTTTCTGTTCCTTGTGCCTGGAATGTTCTTCCTGGATTGTCCCATGACTGGCCCCTTCCTATTATATGGGACTTCCTCTGCAGGTGCCTCTGGGAAGATATCTTCCCAGACCACCCTGGCTCCAGATGCCCCGCCACCCCACGCCTGCCACCGCCTTGCACAACTTTGTGTTATTCCCTAGGGCTCCCTGCTACCTGAAGTTCTCTCGGGTCAGAGAATGTGCCGCCTTGGCGGACTCTGAGTCTGTAAGCAGAGGGCATTGTCCATCTTGCCCACGGCTGATCCCCAGCCCTATTCTCAGCACACAGCAGGCGCTCAATAAATGTCTGCTAAGAGTTCCGAGCCTGGGGACAGAGTGATGAGATAGAGGGGCCCCTGCCCTCATGGGGATCATGGTCAGCAGCATTCCCCCCCCCCCCCCCGCCCCAAGCCAGCTCTCCAACCCAAAGCCACTACTGGGACCCTACGCGTGGGTCCCCGCCCCGCACCTGTCCCAACCGACTCCTGCCAGAGGCTGGCAGCCTGAGAGCGAGGGCAGAGGCATCGTGTGCAGGTGGATCCACAGCAGGCCTGAGCCCATGAAGGGCAGCTGCCTCCACGTGCTGGGGGGCAGGGAGAGGAGGGGGCCACCGAGAATCAGAGCCCAGAGGAAACCTGAAGCATGAGGGCGGCTGGCTGGTTCCCCCTGCACCCCCTTTGGCCCAGGCTGGACCCCACCTCTCCTGGACTTCCCTCATGCCCTTCTGAACCAAAGTAGCTCCTGCAATCAGCAGACGCCTCGCCCTGATCCAGGAAAGCCCACGGGGTGGGATCAGGAGGGCCACAGCTTGGGCCGGGTGGATGCCCGGGATGGCGTGTGGGAGACCCGGACCCCTGAGAACGATCATCAAGGAGTTAACATTCATTCCATATGTTTAATCCTCCTAATGACCCTGCTCACCGGTCTCAACCCCCCTTTACAGATAAGGAAACTGAGGCACAGAGAGTTCGAGTAGATTGCTCAAGAGTGAAGAGCCAGAAAGCAGGATGTGCCCCCAGAAGTGGAAGCCCAGGCGACCAAAGGAAGGGGTCTTCCAAATGCAGAGGATGGGGCCACACTGGTGAGGGGGTGGGGGCGGGGGTGGGGGAGGGGGGTGGGCAACAGAACGTACTCCCTCGTCCCCCACCTCAGCAGCACGTCCTCACGAGCTCCCTCGGTCAGGACAAAGATCAGCACTGGAAACCTGAGGCCATCTGGATTCCCTGGAACATACAGGACCAACCCTCCACCCTCCCACTCTGCGGACCCCCGGCCCTGCCTCCCTCGACCAGGGTGGCCTGTCCCTCAGGTCTCCCCCACAGCTCCTGAAAAAACAGGCTCTGAAGCCCCGCCTCCCAGTCTACTGAGGCCGCCCCCCTGAGCCCCCCATTCCCTGCCCCCTCTGCCCACCAGCAGGTTCAAAAGGACAGTCCCCACCTCAGCCACCAGCAAGCTGAGGGCAGATGCCTTTCACTGTCCTGCCCTCCCTCAAAGGCCCACAACTGAGGTCTTCCCCAATGTAGCACTGGGGTCCAGTTACCTGCCTCTTCATGGGACCCCAAAACAGAGCCTTAACCCCAGTCCACGGGTGACCTTACACGCTCAGGCCCAGGGGGGCCACGGCTAGCAACAGGATTCACACCCCCACCTCCCCCGCCGCCTTCCCCCCTCTACTGGGAGCTGTTCTGACCTAGCCACGCAAACTGCCCCGCATGGCCTCAGTTTCTCAGTGTGCAAAGTGGGAATGAGGCCCTGACCTCACCCCCCAGGCTGTGGGGAGGATGAGCGGCGATAAGCAATGGGAAAACGGAAGGGCCATGGGGCCGTGGGGTTTGCGTGTCACCAGGCACCACGCCTTCCTGGTGCCACAGGGAGGACAGTGAGCCCTTGGGACCACCTCCGCCTCCTGTCCCCAAGGACCTGCCTCCCAGGAGGGTACAGAGCCCGGTCCGGGCCTGTAACCACACACAGCCTCTTCCTCAAGGACACCTGCCACCTTCTCGCCTAACTGGGCATATCACGAGTGTCACCCCGCCCAGCAGGACACCAGCTCGCCACCCCAACCCTGCAGCCTCCATCTCTGGGACGACCCTGCTTACATGGGCCCCTGTTTACAGTGCTTGTGGCACTGCCCCTAGGGGTTACGCCATGCCCCGCGACAACAAAGCCATCTATCTGCCAGGTGTGCCAAGAAACCAGACTCTGCCCCTTGGGGGGGGACCCCAGTTCACAAGCCAGAAACATCTCCTGCCTGGTTTTCTGATTAGGAACACAGGATTGCAGGGAGGACGCAGCTGAAACATCTACTCCGTGCCAGGCCCAAGCAGGCGCAGGGACCCAAGGGTGCATCCCGTGAGGTTCCTGCACGCCAAAACCCAGGATCGAGAGCAGCAGGGATGCCGATGGGAAACTAACCATCACGGGGCTGTGCCCAGCCATGTAGCCAGTGTCCCCTCAGCCTCCGTCACCCACCCAACCATACCCCAGCCCCCCCGAAGAGGAAGCTGGCACCAGAACCCCCTAGGTTCCCCGCGGGCAGAAGAGGAAGCTGGTACAGACTGAGCCGAGGGACTGCCCCAAGGTCAGTCTTGGTCTTGCGTGGCCCAGGCCTGAGGCTCATGCCCCCACCCTGTGAATCAGCCACTGGTCGTTCTCACAGGGTCAGCCACTTGGCCCAACGACTCTGGCAATAACAGTAGATGCTGAACAAAAGTTGGCAATGATTACTTTGTGCTAGACGCTGAGATGCTGAACGCTTCACACGGATCAGCTCTCCTTTCAGCCTCAAAACAACCCTAGTGTTATCACTATGCCCACTTTGCAGATAATATGCGGCTCAGAGAAGTTCAGTCAATTGCCCAAGGTCACACAGCTCAGAAGTAGCCGCAGAGGGATTCAAACCCAGGCAATCTGCATCTGGAATCCCAGATTTCGACCCTAACAGGGAAATATCATATTCTTGACCCCCACCTCCCCACTCCCTGCCTCAGGCCCAGGTGAACCCCTGTCCCACCGGGGCAGGCAGAGTGAGGAGGGCTCGATGCTGGGGACACAGGGATGACAGGCGCCCAGCAGCTACCGCGTGCCTAGCGCGGTCGACGTGCAGGCGCGGTGCCAGACGAGCTCCACGCACCCTCTCATTTAACCCTGCCAGGCGACGCCATCTCCACCCCTCCACCAAGGAGCTGAGTGAGGCTAGAGGGACGAAGGGGCTCAGCCTACTGGGGGACAGCTGGAGGGGGAGAGACAGCTGGAGAAGCGACTCCAGTCTGCCCGCCCGGGGGGACGGAGGGGGGGGGCCCACTATACCCAGTCATGCCCACGCCGCGCAGTCATTGCCGATGGAACCCGGCACCAAATGCTGCGGCCCGTCCTCAGTTTCCCCACTTGCGAAATGGGCGCCAGACGTCGCCAGCAGCCGCACTCCCACCCCTAACCCCCGGAGCCCTCCGGACCACCCTGGGGGATGCCAGGACGCCCGCCTTCTCCGTTAATTTTAAATATCCCGAGGAGCCCGGCGGCCGGCTTGGGGCGCGGAACTGCGGGCCGCGGTGGCGGGCATGCAATGGGGGTGAGGGGAAACACCCGCTCCCCGCAAAGCGGCCGCCGCCCCCCGCCGCCTCCTTTGTCCCGATCTCGCCGCAGCGCAGCGGACAAAGAACCCCCGCCCGCGGGCGCGGGCCCCCCGGAACAGACCCTCCGCTCCCCCCCGCAGCCGCGCCCCCGCCCAGGCCGTCCCTCCCCCGCCGCGGCGACCCCCACCCCCACCCCCACCCCGGCCCGCGGCCAAGCCGCCCCTCGCAAGCCCCCAGCCCATCGGGGGCCGCCCCTTCCCCTCCCGCACGTCCCCGCCCGGTCCCAGCGCCCGGCCCGTCGGGCTCCGCTCACCATGGCGCCGCCCGCAGCCCGGCCCG